TTGGGCTAGGATTGATCCAAGTATTTTGTATGTACTAAGCAGATGGACCCCGCTCCTTCTCCTTTACAATAACCTGACCAAAAATTCCACTATTTAGACATTCAACATTGCAAGAATGTATTTTCTGAGATTAGTAGCAGACCTAGAAATGAAAAATTAGATTAAAAAAGCTTGTGTCAGAAATAATTGACAATTAAAGCAAATTACTGTTTTATTTTAAGTTTCCATTTCCAAAGGAGGAAATCCTAGAGTGGGATGCACTGGTTGGGATAACACTTGCCAATAAATAAATACATAAATAAATATTTAGAGATTGTTTTTTAAAGACACACAGATTAAGTAGTACAACAGGGACCACCTCTTTCTGTATGTAAAAGAATGAATACATATTTGTGATGGTCCAATATAGTAACTCAGAAATTTCAGCTGCAAAGAAAAAATTGCTCTTAGCCTTTCTTCAGTCACCTGTAGTGACTGGAGTTTTTCAAAATATATTGTCCATCTGTATGTTCCACTGTGGATCTACATGAGCCTCAGGTACTTGAGTTTTAAGACTTCTGGCAAGTAGGACCACCCTTCCACCCCTCTCGCACTGTGTTCACACTCTTCTTGTGCTTTTCATAAACAATATATATAGCACACATCTACTGCTCCTCAACTGCAGTCCCAGGATATCATCCAGGATTTGAAGGAGGTGATGAAGGGTGGAATGTAGTGGAATGGATATATGAACAACACATTTTGAAGGACTTGTTTCTTAATTTCTCTCTCTCTTTGGAATGATGGTCCATATGCATATTCCATTGAGGAAGACTCCAAAAAAGTGTCCAGCCTATATTAGCAGTGAGATCTTGGACTGGGAGTGGGATAGTGATTTTAGTAAAAGTTATTCTACTGCAGCAGCTCAACATGACACTTCAGTAATAGCATAATGTATGAGAGCCCTGGTAGAATATTTTCTAATCACTGCTGAAGGCTCCACTTTAACTGTATTGTAGGTGGTCTGGACACAACTGGACATTCACTTAGAGCAATAGCTCTCACTCAACCTTTTAAGACTCAAGGCACCCCTCCGAATAGGCTAGCTTTTATCTTTTAATATATATGTAATTTTACTATGGAAAAATAAAGTAATGCTTCTATTGCAAAGAATTTGCAAAAAATACAGATAGACCACAACAGGTCAGAATGTTTTTGACACTATTTGAAATCTCTGGGTTTATCTTGTAAATGTTGTGGGTGCATGAACACCTAACAGTGATTATATTGTGCAGCACCCAGTTATACCCTTCAAAACATCTTGCAGGACCCTAGTTAAGAATCATGAACTTAGTCCCTTGGCAGATGTTAAATAATGGCACGATTAGGATTTAAGAAGTGTTATGTTCCATCTTAAACATCACACAGCCTGAGATGCTATCTGTGCATGGCAGGGCATGCAGTGATTGGGATAGGGCATAACATTCCTCTTATCCAAACTACACCACTGTGGAGCTGTCCCCAGCCTGATCCTGTGGATCAGGCACTTCAGAAACAGGCACTGGGAACCCTGGGTCCTGATTTGGGACTTGGAACTGGCCTTCAAGGAAACCTTGAAATACAGTGTTGAGGGAAGTCTGTCATCAGCACCTGGATTTTTCCTACTCTCCCAAGGGTCATGAAGCCTTTCTTAACAGACAGGTGCAGAAGTGAACTTATACCATAGGCTCAAATGACAGACCCAGGATTGTAATAACTAATTAGGTGCCCTTGCAGGACCATGTCCTTCCCCAGGAAGAACACCTTAGTTTTCTATTAACTCCAGTATCACAGGATAGGAAAAAATCAAGTCTTCCATCAATGGCTGATGAGTTGAAATGGCTGCTAGGTGCAGCTTGACCAAACTTAAACACAGGTCATTCTGCTTCACCTTAAAAGGAGGTGGTGGTGTTCCTACTACACCCTGTGGAAAACCCAGTCCAGTTGGATTGTGAAATTTTCCTGCTGTAAACCAAGGTATTTGTGACAAGATACCTCAGTCTACAGAAAAAGCCTGCTCTACACTCAGTAGCCATCTACCATAATATATGAGGTGAAGAGAGCTTCAGTCTTATCCTGAGTTCTTATTCCCAGGATAAGACTGAAGACTGATACTGACAACTGATACTGGGAGCACCAGTGTAGTCTTGAGACTGTGGGAAGACAGATACACTCGTCTGGGAACTATGCTGGGACTAGTAGAGGTAGATCAGCAAAAGTCTTGCTTGGCTTCATCCAGTACTCTGGGTATCAAAGGAGTTTGTGGGCAAGTATACAGTAGCTTTATGTTTATGGCATGAGAAAGGCAAATACTGATCTTGGAAAAGCCCCAATCCAAACGGATGTTGTAGAGGACAGTCTTTGACCTGAAAAGTAAGGCTGGACTAAGAATGTAAACCTAAAGCCTTACCTCCCTGTCCTTTCAGGTCTTGGAAATAAAGGGTTTGCTCATGGAGCATATATGCTGGACTCACCCAGAGAACAGAGGTACTTTAAGTTGTCCAAGCCCTGTCAGAGAAAGGATAGCACTCAATCTGCCCCCTGTTCCTCTCTCCCCACCCCATGAGGTGTTCATATACATACTTTACTTTATACTATATAGTTTTTTACTTATATATATATATATATATAGATAGATAGATAGATAGATAGATAGATAGATATAAAGTAAAAAACTGCCATCAGGCAACACAAACCAAAAGGAATTCTAACTAAAAAAAAGACACTTAGTAGAGAATTAACTAGGTTAATAACAAACAGCATGTAGCTAGGAAGAAAAACTAGTTTACGACAGCAGAGCACTCATCTTAAGCCAGAAGACACTTGAGAGGAGTTGAAGAGCAGGAGATGCATATCCTACTCTTAATGAAAAGTATGAGGGTAGGCTAAATGCATCCATACTTTGTGCATAGTGCTAGGCAAATATCTTTAAGTTCAAGTGTGGCATGTTTCTAAGACATGTCTGAGCACTAACCGTGGAATGTGCACATGGACAACTGCTCAAAAGAAAACTGGGCACTTTCAGAATAAAGGGAAAAATAATTACTGAGAAGAAGCAAGTTATTTTACTTATTTATCACTAGATTTTCACTAGTCCAGGATCAAAAAAGTGAAAGGTTTCCATACAGCCAGAGGAGATTTGAAGACGTATCGTCAGCCTTCAGTGGATATGACAGCATTCAACAGGACAAAGGATGATGGCTTAGTTATTTTTAAAAAATGTAAACAAGGGAACCTATTAGATTAGGCAACTGAGGTTCCTTATGACTTCAATTATGACACAACAGTAAATTATTAGAACAAGGCAAAGGCTGCTGTTATCAAAGAACATGTAGTAAGCAGATGAGAATGAGCAGAACAAAAATGTTCATGAAAAATCATCATCATTCTTACAAAATAGGCCATTCTATCCAACAAACACTGGTATGCAGACTCACTTTTCATTTAAAGTTTTGATTTTTTTTACCTTGCATAGCCTCTTCTGGTAATAGTATGCATCCATAAAAGCTAGATTTATTTATTTTTTATAAACTGTGCAGGCTGGAGTCCTGATACCCGATATTCGGAGCATTTTCTTCAAGACGCTAAATTACTTCATTGGAACGGAAGATATAAACCTTGGGACTATCCTAGTGTTCACACTGACCTGTGGGAAAAGTGGTTTATCCCTGACCCTTCAGGAAAGTTCAAACTGATTCGTCCTGATACCTGATACTGATATATATGTAAATGTTCATACTTAAAAAAATAAAATACGTTTCCAGCAAGATCCAATTAATCTTCCTATTTATACACCACAGTTTGTAATACTGTTTTCCCCCTTTCTACTGTGAAACAGCTATTGAGCAAAACTGTATGTGCAACTGCTTTTACAAAATTAACCATGAATATTTGTTAAGCAGTCCCATACGATGAAGTTTGCCTAACTGCGCCTGTGGAGAGGGAAAATTCAGGCTTAGCCTGAATTTCAAATATGGGAAACTTGATAATGAAAACACTTTCATAAGGTATTTACAAAGATGAAACTTGCTACTAACCAAAACAAATTTTAATGCAATGTCTCCTACCATCTTATCTTGCTGACACAAAATCTACACCAGAAGTACTCTGCAGTGTTAGAATACAAAATCTTTTTATCTTTGTAATCTATTTTTAATCATTGCTACATGAAAATTAATGAAACACTTCCAAAGGTATATTTAGGGACCTACCAAATTCATGGGCCCTGGCAGCCTATGACATGGCTGTAACATGGCCAGGCCGCCCCAGTTTCACAGCCGGGGCTGCCATTTTGAAGGTGGAGCAAAGCAGCACCCCCCTCACCTCTGATTGGCTGAGGGGTGCTGCAAGTTCCACCCCTCCCAGACATTGATTGAAAGCCCTAGCTGGAGCTGTCTGACTTGTTAATTCAGAATTATCACCCTCTTCAAGGGGCAGAGAACAATAATTACTGACTAAACAAGGTTGACCCCTTCCCAACCTGACTGGCTCCTGGACTGAGCTGATGTCAGGGGCTCAACCTCCAATTTGCTCTGCTGTGGCTGTCATCCTGCCCCTCCCTTCAGGAGAAGGGGTCTTTTGGCAGGCTTTCCCTGCTCCCCCCTTCCCCTTCTGGAGACAGAGAGATGGGAACTTTTCCTGTCTCTCCCCCCACCTCCCCCGCTTCAGGAGACAGGCAGTCTGCCTTTTTTTCTTTTTGCTTCCTTCCTCCGCCCTTCCAGGAGACAGCTTTTTAAACATGGCCAGTTCCCCGTGCTTTTTCACAGGAGACTGCCAATTACACAATTTCTGTGAAATCGTGTATTTGGTAGGTCCCTAGGTATAGTTTTTACTCAGTGCAGTCAGTTTGTAATCTAGTGCCTCTTTTTCAAGGGACTACAGTGAAGCAATTCAGTCATTATTTGCATGTATTATAATATATTCTTATCCTATTATTAGCAGATTGGCAAAATATCACATTTAACCAGCATAACACATCTGATTCCAATACAATTCCTGATTTTATTGTGAAACATTTGTAGATTTTAAGACAGTTTAAAAACCTCCATATTAATGTAATGAAAGAGCACCAGTTCTGAGAGAATACATACACATCACTTGCAATATTTAATGTAATTGTCTTTGTATGTTTAACTATACTTATACCTACATAATGCAGTAGGTGCCTGTCAAAGAAGAGACTTTCAAATTAAGAAGCCATCTTTACAGTAGTTATGTACTATCACATTACTTTCTCAGCAATGGTAGTTACATGCTTTCCAGAGTTTTGTTGAAAAATAAATTGAATTGTAACAAATCCCTGATGCAAGATACTCTGAGCACCAGCAGGAAAACGTCCATGTAAACAGTGACACATGATACAGTACGTTTTAAATAACAAATGAATGATTCCTACATATCTTTAACAATATAATGAACAGCTTTATGCTGGAGCCAATAAGCATAATCAGAACCATAATGCACACTGTCTTGATTTAAGAAACTCTACGATTAAGCCACACAATTTGGGAAGAAAACTGTAAATAGCATGCCTGCCTCATAGGAAGCTGGCAGTGTGTGGGATCCAAAAGCATTACAGTAGGTTTAGGATCTACACTGAATGCATCCATTCAATCTCTGATGAAAAAACTGCTGAAGCATATGAGAAGATGAAAGAAAAAACAAACCTGGTAGTGTAATCTCTAACTAGTTCAGATTACAGAAATACCATCTGTGTACATTTCAAGTATATAAAGCACCTGCTCTCATAAGATAATCAAAACATTAATGCTTTGATCAACTTATTGCTTTTTTTTCCCCAACTCTCCTCTATAAAAGAGAGGGAAAGACAGTGATATTAGGCACAAGCATGGAAATTCATTTCCTCCACACTCCCTAAACATTGGCCACATAAAGTGTACACAGAGACACATGCACTATTTTAGCAAATTCTTAAGAAGAGGTCCTTACTTTCCAGGGTTGATTTTGTTTTCATAGATTAGCTGCCCATGGTTTTAACCTCACTATATCATTATTCCTGAAGGAAGCAAACAGAAAAATCCCCCTACACTTAGAGACACAGAGGAAAGGGAACTGAACCATATCAATTATCCCTAATCTTTCAGCTTCATTCTAGTTTTCCCTCTTGGTGACCAATACAAATAAGTGACTGTTCCTGCATTTAGCCTCCCCATTTCCTGCAAAGGTAGCCAGTTCCAAAGGGTTCTATTTCTCCATTTAGTGCTAGAGCTACTTGGTGTAGGCCAAATGGCATGTTAGAGAAAAACATGAAAATTAGAGTGTTAGAGCTCTGCAAAGCTCAAAAGCTTCCACCTCGTGCTTTCCAGAGGAGGCTCAAGGGAATGAAAGGGATCCTAAACAGGCCTCATCTCAAGTCAGCTGTACTAGAGCAATTCAAACTGTGTTCCTGCTCAACACACTGGATTCTCCTTCACTCTCACCGCATCTCACAAACTGGATAGATCAGAGCTCTAGGTCAGGAGTTCGCAGCCTACAGCCATTTTATCCAGTCCACAGAGCCAGGGGAGCTTGTGGCCTTTCAGTGGAAGGGAGCTTTGCCTGAACAGCAGCTGTATGGGTGGGGGGAACAGTGGCAGCAGCACTGTGGGAGGGAGTAGTAGCAATGGCAGAGGCCAGTGGAAGTGGCCTGTGCCAGGAGCAAAGCTCTGTTAAAGTGGGCTCACACTCCAAAACATTGCTGACCCATGGTCTAGGTGGCCAACAAGCCAAATGGAGATGGGACTCCATCTTAGCTCAGAAAACAAATCAGCTACTACTAGCTGCAAAGTGGGACTCTCACCTATGGCAGCAAAGTGAAGGCAGACCTTGACAATGCACGCTTTGTATAACTACATTGACTTTTAAAGCCTTGCTCCCTGTGAGAGCAGGGCTACATTTTCTTTTTCTCCTCTCTGGGTGTAAAAGGATTACAAAATATCCAAACTTATTAAGGAGTCAGTAAAAACTATAACTCTGCAGACTACTACATTAAAAAAAAAATCACAGAAGAAAATTAACCCCCAAATAAAAACCAGTCTTCATAGATGAGAAAGCAGTTTGTCAAAAACTGCAAGAAATGGTGCATGTTAAATAGAAAACTCATATACAAAAAAGGGCTACTTTTTTTTTTTGTTTAAGTTGGACTTTTCCTTAAAATTACCTAGTTCATAAGATTAAATCTACCACACAATTGGTTTGGACTACAATAAAATATCTAAGAGAGGTAAAATACTATTAAAATGCTTCAGTTACAGAACTGAGGTACCACTTTTGTTAACTGCATTAAAACTGCAGCATTTATGCATACACTGAAGAAGCAGCTTTTATACACTGCTTCCTTCTAGCTCTTGTGCCCTGCTGTCATTGAATTCTGGAATCTGGTCTGTAAAGGACTGTGTCATCCACTGTCCATTAGGAACATCACCAAAGCATGAACCTCCACTGTACTCTGGATTGCTTGATGCTGGAAAACAAAAGTATCAATATTTGGTCAGATAATGGCTACATGG